TTATTTCGACATGTGTGCATGCAACAAGCAAGATGTATTTGTAAATTCTGACAAGCGTGCCGAGAATTGATTTAATTTATGATGAGATTGTTCCAGTTCATGTGGTGACCGCGCCTCGCCGGCGCCTCCATGTCATGATTATATTGTCTGCTATATTTGCTTCTTATTTATTAAATCCAGGCAATTGGTTAATGAAAAAAATGTATTAAGATACAATTTATACAAATCAAAATCATGCCAGAACCACTCCATCCATGTCTCCCCATATTCTGCTTGAAAATGCATTTGTTTGATAAAAATGCATTTTTCTCAGCTTTTTGTCCAGAATGTTGTGTTTTTGACAAACGCCTCTGTTCAAGTAGATCTCAGATCTTTATTTTGATATATCTTTATATATTCATAGAAGAAAATATTCTGCGGGCCATTACATTTTAGCGAAAATCGTCAAAAACCCTGGTGGTGGCTGGCAACTTTTTTAAAAACACTGGCAGGGAAAGAGTTAAGACAAAGATTGTGTTATAAGGGGTAAGAATTTTGCATTAAATTCTATTTATATTTATATTAATTCATATTTATTCTCCAAATAAATTGATTGAGATTCACAAATAAATGTAAAGACTTTCACAAAATGAAGAAAATTCACAAATAATTAAAAAGAGATTTCCAAAAAATAATAATAAAGAATACTAATGTGTTTTATGACACAAACACATCATGGCATTCATTTGTGAATCGCTTTCTTTGCGTTTGTGAATTGCTTTCTATGCATTTGTAGATCCCCGCACGCATTTGTGGATTTAGAAACACTTCTAGCGTCAAGATGTGCAGACAAGTTCACAAATAAGTGGAATCCACCAACCATCTAACATAAGCCATCAGATAACAGTCATTTGTACTGATCACTCTCATGCTCCAACCAATCTTTAAAATCAGGGTCGTCTTGCCCCAAAATAAAGGTGCGTTTGCAATTATTATTTCAACTTGTAAGAAGTGTTCACATCCTCGTAGAGATACAGCTTGTAACTTAAGAGGGGAATTGTCTTGTGAGCTTTTTGTACCACACGACTGCTGTATCACCTGACTACTGCAGGTTCATTAAGGTGTTGATAGTGATGCCATAGAAACAAATACATTTCCATTCTCAACAGCTCAGGATATAATGTAACGTGTTGTCATCTTCAGACATGTCGGTAATTACAACATGGCGTGAATGCAGCATAACTTTGCTCATTCATCTGCATTGGTTCAAATAGGAAGCATATAAGGCCCATTCAAGTGGTACAGGAATTTTTTTTTTTTTTTTTTTTTAATTTGGATTGCATTAAACCATTAGACTGTGTATCAAATCAAGCTGGTATTAGGCTATACTTTATGAGCCTTTGGAAATGCCAGAAAAACAACGCTTAACATCTCTGTTGTGGGAACAACACACGTTATTCAAGACAGAACAGAAAAGCATGCTAGCACTTTAGTTCACAGTCCTGTTCCATGTACATACATTTTAATCATAATAACTGGGTGAAATTTTTACATTGGTAAAGGTTGTGGCTGTAATTAATGGTGTCTGGATTTAAGAATGCAAATATTGCATTAAAATGTTGCTATCGTTTGTTTTTATCTTCCTGCGTGCATGTAAAGCATAACGTGAAGTTTGGCTAGGTTGCTATGACATAAGTTTCCTCCGTCATTAAAGCATGAGAAAAGAAATGTCTAAGTTGCCAGGATACGGTGATCAGAGTTGCAGTTATTCAGCTCCACGGGAGAGGGAGGCATTGTGCACGTAAAAGTCTTGTTGGGTCGCCAGGGACAGACAAAACACTGAAGCTCATTCAAGGACAGGTTATTGTTTTAAATGTTGTATTGCTGTCTTTATTAGTGTTAAGTTAAACGTTGTTAGACACTGTAATCTACTTACAGATCATGCACACGTTAATCATAAAACTAGTAGCCTTATTATTTTTAAATGTATCAATTTAAACAAAGTTAAACTGAAGTAGCTAAATAATTATCATATTTTATGTTTGTATATTATATCCTGTATAATATAGCCAAATAATTGTATTGTAACTTTGCACTTACCTCTTCTGTTAGACTTAAAATTGAGCGCGTTGCCTAGGAAAGGGTAAGTTGGACTAATCCCTGGGACAGGTTTTAGTTCTCTCCATTTGTGCAAGTAATCTTTAAAAAACTGATATGTTGTGAAAGTCAAAACAAGTAAAAGTAAGACAAAAAATAGAAATGCGTATAACAGTTCACCAACTTCCGCATGCATTTTGATGTTTTGTAAGATGTGTAGTGCAGTAGTGTTCCAGAGATCATCGCCTGTTAAATGGCTACTTGAAAATGTTGTTGGCTACAGTACATCCCCCTAAAGACATGGGACGTGCTTAGGTTTTCAAATAGCCTACACAAAATGACTCTCCTTGTTTATTTTGCATAAGCCACAATCTTTATTTAATATGGAATAGAAATGACAAAGAGACCTCTCTCTCTCTCTCAATATATATATATATATATATATATTGAATAAATACAAAATATATAAAAGGTGTTCATTACGCCAGACACCTACATAAACACGTTACGGTTGGTTTTATGACTTTAAGTCGTTCTCTTCAAATGCTATTGAAGTTAGAATCGTGTATACCAATGTCGACTCGCATGTAACTTTATTCTGTTCTGGTTCTGTTGTCAATCCGCGTTCAGTGACGCTGCTGAGTGCTGACGTGTATCTGGTGTGCCGGAGCTTTGTTTACAGTGTGAGGGAGACGCACGCTGTAAACAAAACAATCTTGGCAAACATGTCTAAGGATTTCGACACAGAGGAAGCCTTGCATTTTTTGCCCAGCCATATTTATTTGACCCAAATACACAGACGCGCCAGATAAAACGTCGGCAGCGTCTTGCATCATCAGTGTCACTGCGGACTCGTGAACGTGGATTGACAGCAGAACCGGAAGACAAAACAATGCTGAATAACCATAAAGTCATAGTTTTTGTTATTTTTGGACCAAAATGTATTTTCGATGCTTCAAAAAAATTCTAACTAACCCATTGATGTCACAATGGACTACTTTGATGATGTCTTTATTTCCTTTCTGGACAAGGACAGCATACATTTTCAATGGAGGGACAGAAGCTCCCGGAATAAATCTAAAATATCTTAAACTATATTCCGAAGATGAACAGAGGTCTTACGGGCTTGGAACAACATGAGGGTGAGTCATTAATGACATAATTTAAATTTTTGGGTGAACTAACCCTTTAAGGCAACTAAACAACCAAGAAAAATATATGTCTACCTCAAATGTAACATTGGATCAGTACATCCACATCAGGGGGATAACCTAATCTCATTCACGGTAGAGAAAGATGCATGTAGGCTACACAGGAAAAGTAACCGTGAAGACTTAACATAAAAGATTTAACATTACAACCATCATAATGATGATAAATTATACACAAATACCCTTAAAGGTGCAGTGTGTATTTTGTAGCGACATCTAGCGCTTCGTTGCGAGTTAAGTGCACTAAGCGAGCTCGAAGAAGCTACGGAGCTACGGTGGGACAAACATTGTGGCACATACTGCACACGCACAGAAATAGGAGCACAGAAACTTACCAACGCTGCCCCGCGACTTTAAGAAATAGAATAGCTTTAATACTGAATTGCTAGAGTACAATATTTTTCAGCAACTGGGGTTTACATCCATAGACAGTAAAAGAAATGGACACAGCGACCCCATAGACTTCAACGGAGAAAAGTCAGGTCAATTAGAAGCAAGGGGGTAATCCATCCGCTGGAAACTGAGTCGCCATTGTAGCTATCACCTGCTGTTAGCATTCCATTGACTCCCATTCATTTTGGCGTCACTTTGACAGCGAATAACTTTACCTCTGAGGCGTCCAAAGACTACATTTGTCCATTGTACTGTCTGCAGTATTACATTGTATGTGCGCCTCGAACACACCAGGCGCGGGTAATTTCTGTTTGATGCTACTTCTTTTATCTTATTTTGTTTAATAAGTAACGATGTGGACTGTAGAACATGTGACAGACAGTTAGGAGTTTGATTTGGAGATAAAGTCTGAGTTGTGAGATGCCAATCGCCTCTGTGAGTCTATCTGGCCTCTGCAATAACTTCAACTGTGAGCTATCCCTATTTTTCTTCCCGACACAACACGTTACAAGACCTTAAAAAACATCAAACTTACTAACATGAAAATGCGGACTCTGGCTTATTATGCACTAAATAATGTTATCGCATAATCTTGTTTTTGAGGGACTGTTTAGAAATAAACAATGGACAAATGGAGTCTTTAAACGCAGTAGACCGAGACGGGCTGGGACGGGCTAAGAAGAGAGCCGGTGTTCTGACATTCCATCCTACCCGTCAGATTGTCCTACCAAGGCTTACTGCGCATGCGCACATCAATAATACGTCATTTTTTTGTCACGCTGAACAACACGCCCATAATATTTTACTACTTGCGCGAGATCTTCTTCATCTGAGGTAAGTTTTTCACTATACAAAGATATATAGCAGTAATGAGAACTGTTTACTCTCACATTCATACAAAGCAAATTCATATTAGCATTTTTTTCATGAAAACATTAACGTAAAATCATTCTACTCGTTTATTTCATACTGGTAGGACAATCTGATGAGGCATTTTGCACTGTAAAATCATACTACTCGTTTATTTCATACTGGTAGCACAATCTGATGAGGTATTTTGCAACGTAAAATCATCCTATCGTTTATTTCATAGGACAATCTGAAGAGGTAACGTTACTTTGCACTGTAAAATCACCGTAACATGGCCTAATAAGAAAATTCGGCAAAGTTACACAGAAATATTTTATGTAACTTAGTCACAGACGCGAAGCAGAAACGCTCAGTAGGATTTTACGACGAGGTAGGATGAACCGATAGATATGGCTATAATTTTGCGCTACGGTAGGAAAATCTGACAAGGTAGGACAGATCGACAGAACACCGGGACGGACTGAGACGGGCTAAGAAGAGCGCCGAGACGGACTGAGACGGGCTAAGAAGAGCGCTGAGACGGTCTGAGAACGATGTAAAGATATTCGTTGCCAAGTGACGCCAAAATGAATGGGAGTCAAATGGAATGCAAACAGCCGGTGATGCCTTGTTAGCCAATAGCGGCCCCCGGAAAGACTTCAGTTTCCGGCTGGTGGATTACCCCCTTCGGTTACATAGCTTTTTTAAGTTGTTAATGGAGCACTGATCAGACACAGTGTGTGATTAGCTGTGCATGAAATTATTTTAATGCATTTCGCGTCAGGCGGCTCTTTGCTTCCACGTTGTACATTAACATTGTTTAATACACGATTTTAATGCACGAGGTGGAGGCAAAGAACCGTCTGAAGTGCATTAAAACAATTTCATGTACAGCTAGCTGTGGATTACCCCACTTATACTATGGTCATTTGCCAGCACTTGACCACTTAAAGCTGTTATTAATGTTTGCAGTGCAATATTTGACCGGAAGGTTAAACTGATGGTTATTTTCGACAGTTACTCGTTAGCTCTGCATTCTGCCTGCATTGAATCAGAGAGATAAAGTAGTATGTAAAATTGCATTTACTTGAATTAATTAATTATATCATTTATTTTAATTAATTATTGAGAGAGAGATTTATATCCATCCATATCAGTCTATCTCCATTAACAATGCAGCTAATAGTTTTTAATTACTTAAAAAAGCGATGTAACCCCCTCGTTTCTATACTCAAACATAAGCTGCTTTCTTAGTGAAATCATTGGTATTTACATTGTTTAGCATTAACACTGATTTTAAATACAAACAAAGAGCAACATTTATCATCAGTTTCTTACTAATTACTCCTTCCCAGGTTGAAACAATCAAATAATCAGTACCAGAGGCAACAATTTGACAGGAACCATCACTCAATATTATCTGACCTGCAAATTCTTTTCAACTTTAAATGTGTGAAGAAATATGAAAGTAAATAAACAGAGAATTCAAGTATGAACTGTTAGTACAATGATTGAGGACCTGGCACAAAATAAACATTATGGAAAAATAATTTCTAGTTAAGGTTGTTGGTGGAGGCTAATGCTGAACGAAGTTTCTGATGGAAAGCTGGGATACGTTCCCTGTGTAAAGGCCAGTAGAGAATACAGCAAGGTTTCAACATGCCACGACGAAGATGCAGAGAGCGGTTTAGATTGTAATCAGTGACATCTTGCAAGAAAATCAGAATCAATGAGTCACGATTCTTCTCCATAACCTGGTGAAGTGCATGATGTACTTTGAATCTGCAGAGAAAGGAGGAGAAAGTGTAAATACTTCTGAACTTTTTGCTGAAATACCTGTGAATTTTAATAACTCGCTGTGTTGTTTTTTTAGGATCTGAATCTTTACCTTAAAGAACCGAAACTGGTTTGTATAGTAGTTTTTATTTAATTAATGGTGACTAAATATTATTGTAGTTCGTATGCCTTTTTCTTTTTATAGATAGAGAAGTTTTTACTTACTGCCTACACCATGGATCCTTTAAAAGCATTTCTGTGATAACAAAAATGATCTTCCTTGATTTTCCCATGTTCTCAATAATGGTGTCAAGTTGAGAAAAGCCAGGTATTGCATCTCTGTCTTCAAGGAAAAAAATAAATTTTTCGTCCTCTAGGGGGAGCAGGCTTCGATCCACCCATGGTCTGTCCTTAGCAGTGTGAATGATATAAGCATCAAACACATATCTACCTTCAGCAACGCTTTCATCCTTCAGCGACCCCAGCATACGGTTTACCATTATGCTCCAAAAGAACTGGATTCTCCATCCTTGGAAGTGCACCAGGAAAGCTGTAAATAACAACATTAACACGGCTGTACTACTTAAAATGTACAGTGCCTTAAAAGGTGTCATATCCTTGCAGGACAATGGGTCAAAGTTCATGACGGAGCGGTTAAAGTAGGCATTTGGGGTGTTGCAGATGTAACTTTGAGGAAATCCAGGAACGCTTGCATTGGTTGAGTTTAGCCACTCAGAGAACCACAGGATGCTCTCACAGGTGCAGTCAAAGGGGTTGCGGTCCATGGAAAGTTCTGTCAGGTTGGACAGCGGCACGCCAAACGTGGCGTGTTGGACGGATGTTATAAGGTTCTTTTGAAGATGCAAATACTTTAAAGACTGTAGGTCATCAAAAACAGAGGAATGCAGCTGATTCAAGAGATTACCACGGAGACTTAGCTCGTGTAAATTAGAGAGGCCACGCAAAGCATCAAGTGGAATCTCATCGAGGCCATTGTAATCCAGATCCAGGAGAGTCAGCTTGTGTGCATCCTTGAGGAAAAAACACTGGACCACCTGGGTTGGCTGTTTTCCACAACCTAGCCAAGTTGTTGTGCTGCATTTTCAGCACTTTCAAACGATACAGCCCTGTCAGCATGCCGGCATTTATGTTTGCAATATTGTTATTACTAAGATCTAGAACTGTGAGGTTGACTAGTGGCCTAAATGGCGATTGTTCCATATCTAGGCTTCCTTTTAGGGCACGACCTAGCTTTAGAGTCCTCAACGTAGGGACGTGGATGAATGATGCATTAGTAAGGGAAATACTTTGCTGGTTTATAGACATGTCAATCTCTTTAATGCTAGTTAGGCCCTCGAACTCATCCCCTTTCAACTGCTGATTAATGAAGTTTCGGCCAAGTAGGAGTGTAGTAAGGTTGCCCAACATTGAAAAGGCACCAGGCCCCAACTTGTTTATACCCATGGCTGTAAGATTAAGAGTCTCAAGGAGTGGAGATTCTTGCAGAGAAGCAAAGGTTTTGTTTGTGACTGTCTTCAATCCTGTGATGCTCCAACTTAAATCCAGAGTCTTCAGGTGCAGAAGTCCAGAGAAGATGTGCTCCGTTATCTCTCGGAATGCAGTATTTTCCATACACAGATGCTCCAACTGGACTAAATGGTGGAATGAGAAGTCTTCAATAACTGGTAAGGATGATGTATGACTCTTAATCAGTGCTTTCTGCAGGTTAAGCTGCCTTAGATTTCCCAGTCCACTGAAGGTGTCCTTAGTTAGGTGTCTAAGGGAGTTATGCTCCAGGGATAGAGATTCCAGTCGGGGAAACCACTGAAAGGCACCATCAGCAATCTTTGACATTGTGTTGTAGCTGAGGTCAAGCACTGTAATGTTAGTCTTGTCTAGACCTTGAAAAGTCATGTTTGTGAGTGATCCCTGGAGAGTGTTCATAAGGGAAAGGTTTTGCAAGGCTGTGCCAGCAAGTTCTGTGCAAATATTGGTGATAAACTGAGAGCTGAGCCTGCTGTGATCCAGAACCAAGTCAGATATTCTAGCAATAGCCTGGAAACAGCCATTCTCGACCTGAGTTAACAAAACAATTGAAAAAGAAGACAACGTTCGTTGGAGTGAGCATGGTAGAGCTAAACCAGGTTCAAGAAACTACACTTTTTAGCATGACATTGAAAAAAAAATAAGGCTGCACAATTAATCACAATTAACATGCTCTGTGATCAGTAGTAGATGCTGCTCCATCTGAAAGGGAAGGGAAGCATTTATGAACCTCTTGTCCAACATTATAACAGACAACATTTAATAAATCAATCAAAGCGTTTCAATCTTCTGTTTATTCAGCTATACAGCGATAGTTTGATGTAGGGGTGGGCAAAGTGGCAAAAATATCATATCGTGATTGTTTTTCAAGTTGGTTTTACTATTTTGCAAGTGGCTGAGCATTACAGCCAAACTCATGTCCCTATTAAAAACAAAGCCTTAGGTAACAAAATATTAAATAAAAAAGAATGGCAGACATTTAGGCCAAAGTGGCGAAGATAAAAGCATTTGTAAATTATTTCTTAGATCCACATTACACAAAT